TTAAAAAAAATAAACACCCACAAATTTGGTGACTGAGGAAGATCAGTTCCTCACAGATAGCACTGTCTAGGTGTCCTTACCTGGAGAGAAAGGGCTCAAGCTAATTCCCTCTAGCCTTTTTGTAATCATTTCCCAAAAGGCATCCCCTCTTAATCCATGTAGCACCACAACGGGGATTAAGTTTCAACACAGGAATCTGAGGAAACATTCGCACTGTAGGCACCAGGATGAATTCTTCATTTTTATTCAATTTTTGGTTGCCTGATTTTCATTATAGGCACGCCTCAGAGACACAGCAGGTTCAGTTCCAGACGAAGGCAATAAAGCAAATATTCTAATAAAGCAGGACACATGAATTCCTTGGTTTCCCAATGTATGTAAAAGTTATGTTTACATTGTACTGTGGTCTATTAAGTGTGCAAAAGCCTTATGTCTAAAATGCAATGCACATACCCAACTTTTACAAAACTTTATTGCCAAAAAGGCTAGCCATAATCTGCACTGTTGAGAAAATGGTGCCTATAGACTTGTTCAACACAAGGGTACCAGAAAATTCAGTTTGGAAAAAGATGCAGTATTTGCAAAGCACAATAAAGCAAAGTATGCCTACATTATTTTTCCAAGACAGATCAACCAGTACTCTATGTCCTTTGTGTGTTTCACTGTTTGAGAGCATTTTTCTGTTGTCTTGAATTGTGTTTGAGAGCAGTGTGCATTTGCCTGATTTTATAGACAACTTGAATGTGTTCCTTGAAACAGTATTTTTGCTTACTACATGCAATGTACTCCAGTATTTTATCCTTTATTGCGCTTAACTTTTATAAATGGTAGGATGACCCACTTAATTAATTGAATGTTTTACAGTGCTTGCCCTTTTTAAAGTATCTGTGCTGAGCTGTAGCACTAGATGACATGGGCATAGTGACCTAAGGTCAGCAGCACCTTCAGTTCTGTGTGTTCTTGCACAAAACCTTCTTGCTAGATTTGCTCCAGGTACTGCTCCAGGGGTCTTGTTGTCTGTGGTCTTTCATTTTCAGAGAGCAGCTCATGCTGGTAACAGATCAACTGCTTCTTAGGAAAGATTCCTCAATCACTGGTTCATGTTGATGAGTTTAGGTCTGTTTCTCTGCTCTGAGAAGTTTGCCTGCCAGATACAAAACCGGTTAACACTTTTCTCCTCTCCTTTGTTAACTTCCATGAAATTTCTTCAGGGAAATATCTCTCATAGCCCTGCCTCTCTACTGTTCTGAAGTTAGAGCCTCAGGAAGATTTAACCCCCAGTTCCAGGTACCTACTCCTGTCCTCAGAGTTTAAACACAAGTTGCTGTCTGTGCTCATCTGTATATATCCTATTGGAGATGTGTGTGTCCATGCTTGGTACCCCTCTTCTTTTGGGATCAGTCCAAATTCCATTGCAAGACATGAGATTATGGCCATTTTCTAATTCCATTGTAGATGGGACTCCTTCCCAATCCCAATTTCTCTATTGTTTGCTCATTTCGAGTTTCAGGGAGGCAAGTAGAGTAACCACAGTTTTGCCCCATCCTTCATTATAATCTCTCTTTTTTTTTTTTTTTTTTTTGACAGGCAGAGTGGACAGTGAGAGAGAGAGACAGAGAGAAAGGTCTTCCTTTGCCGTTGGTTCACCCTCCAAAGGCTGCTGCTGCTGGCGTGCTGCGGCTGGCGCACCGCGCTGATCCGAAGGCAGGAGCCAGGTGCTTCTCCTGGTCTCCCATGCGGGTGCAGGGCCCAAGTACTTGGGCCATCCTCCACTGCACTCCCTGGCCACAGCAGAGAGCTGGCCTGGAAGAGGGGCAACCGGGACAGAATCTGGCGCCCTGACCGGGACAGAATCCGGTGTGCCGGCGCCGCTAGGTGGAGGATTAGCCTATTGAGCCACGGCGCTGGCCCTTCATTATAATCTCTTATTAGAAACCTTTGATAGGACAGAAAGATGATGAAGTGTTCTTTAAGGGAGCTTTTTAGTGTAGAAATTAAAGTAGCATGAGGTGACATTGCAAAAACTCTTAGATTAATCTAGGCTGGCACAGCCTAGTAAAATTTTTTTAACAAGGGGATTAGTTTATTATCCATATTGTTTAATATAGTAGCCACTAGCTGAATGGAGTCATTGAGCTCTTAAGATGTAGTTTGTTGAAACTGAGAAACTGCGTTTTTAATTTGATTCAAATTTAAATTTAGAAAGTCAAACATTGTTACTGGCTACCATATTGGACAGTAGGGATGTAGCCAATGTAAAAACCTGAACAGTAGCCTACAGCTAAACAAAATGGAATTAAAGAAGATCTCCAAGAGGTGTCATGGAAAAAAGAAACCACAGTGTTTTCATAGGGGAAGGAAAGGAGATTTCAACAATTTAAAAGCAGTGTGTTCAGGGGAATGGCAAAACTAGTTGTACCATCAGCTAAAAAGAGGTGTGTTCTCAAAAACAATTTTGAAAAAATAGATATTTTGACAGGGTGAGTTCCTGGTGGGGAGGAAATCTACAGGTGGAAATGCCCCTAAACAACTAAATTCTCCCCCTGAGTTGGGCTATGGAGGTCAGAGGTCAGAACTACAAACCAAGAAATGCCTTCCGTTGGTACTTTTCTCCTGAGTTGGCCTCCTTTGCTCCATTCACTCCTTCTCAGAGATTTCCTTGCCCCACCCCCCATCATGCAGAGCCCCTGATATATGGCATAATAATGATGGTTCAAAGAAATTAGTATTTCACCTACTGAGTGATTAATATGAAATTAGTACTGAGACACTCCGTGGTGCAGAGAGGATCAAGGAAGAATTTGGTTTTGTTTTAGACAGGAAAAATACAAGATAGAGTACTGCTTTGATTTACATAGTACTTTTCACCAGAGAACCTCTACATTCTTAGCAAGCTTAATTAATAAAAAAAAAAAAATCCTAGAAAGAGAAATGAGGGGATAAGAAACACAGAACACAGACACTGGTGTTATATTTCTGTGAATTTAGAAAATCAGGCTTGGTACTGTCCTCTTCCATTAGTGCACAAGTGTAGCCCCTTATGGCTACCGTGAGATATTCATCTTTCTGCTGAATGATTTCTCTTGAAGCTCTTGGTAGCCAACAAAATCCCACCCCCTCACTTTATTGATGTCCTTCGCTAGTCTATTTGCAATGGAAATCCATCCTATCACCATAGTGCGGCAAGCATTCTCTGATAATCAAGTCTGTGCCGTCCCTGGAAAGATTGTTCTGTTGCAGAATGAAGCAGGTTATCTTTTTATCAAAAATTATTCAAAACAAACAACCATGAATCTAGGACTAACATGCATTGAAAGAGGACAGGCAAGGCCCCTTAATGGGTGCCCTACTGTGTAATCTTCCTTTCATCTTAATTCAAAATCCCTTGGAGATTCAGCTGCCTTATGCAAAAAATATAAATTCTTCTAATTACTTATGTGTAAGGTGCATGGTTTAGCTTAGTCACAAGAGATATATGGTAATGTATTTTGACACTTACTTTCAACTGTTGTGATTTGGGGACAAATTCTGTTCTTTTATTATACTGCCTTCTTATTCTTTTAGATTTGGGGTTTTTGTTTGTTTTGGTTTGGTTTGTGGTCTTCTTGCATTTTTGCTTTTTTTTTCCTCTCTCCTTCTGGTTTCTTTCCTCCTTCTTCTTCTTACTAAAAAAAAAAAATTAATTATGAGTTAATCAAAAGTGTTGTTCTGCTAAAAGAGAAGTATGGCTTCTAAAGATTTGTACAAAGGGTTTGATGTTTTGCAAAATAAAACTAGCTGCCATGTGCAAGAACAGCTATTTCCATTTGAATGGAGAAGATCCTGAGATGTTTCAGGTTTTGCTTTTTAACTTTTCCAGGCCTCCTATGTCTGTCCCCAGGAGTATATAGATCTTTTATTTGTAGCCCACAGCCCTCTGCTATTCTCTGTGCCCAGGGCATCAGGTTTGTTCCCATTCTTTCTTGTCTTTCTCTTTCTATAGCTACCTGAGCCAGCACTGTCTTACTCCCCCATCTTGTGCAGAATGTACCTTGTTTGCTCAGTGACATAAGATCACACTCTTTCCTCATTAGAGCTGAAGACCTCCTAACTAACACCATCCAGATCACCACTGTCCAGCACCATGCCAGAGAGACCTTTCCATTTTAACACATACCTGAGACTTTAGAAGAGCTGATCTAACACTTTCCAAATTAAATGGCAAATCTTCAAAATTCAGATGGATTTGGAATCCACCTGCTCCATTCTCAGTAGTCTATAGATGCACTGATTAGCAGTAGCATTTTGTAATATCACTTAAGGCTTTAGTGCTGTGGAGTTCTGCCAGTAATGGTGTTTAATTCACTTATATGTGCCAATTCATCTCTGTCAGGAATCTATTAATTTCTTCATTATTTTAGTCTGTCCCTAGCCCCTATATAATGAGACACAATGATCCCCATTTGTGTAGCCAAAAAACTTAGACTCTCTTATAAATTACCCCAGTCCCACTGCTTTTAGTGACCAGAAAGCCTCTGTATTTCTTTTTCATATTTAAATCAATTTTTGCAAGCTCTTATTTAGAAGAGTGTACTGGCATTCTACAGCACTAAACAGTAAAATCATAGAAAAAATGTATAAGATTCTGATGGATTATGTCATATGGATCTCTATCCCAAGAAAGACTTCCATAACATCATCACACAAAAGATGCACTGTTCCCACAAATACATTCCATTTGTAGGAAGGGAATGTTAATGGAAGTCAGCCTCTGATTCTGCTATCAGCATAGTCATCAGTGGCCAAGTTGTCAAAGTACTTATGGCATTGCTATCCAAGTAAAGACCCTATGACAAATAAAATTCAGACATCTACAATTAATCCTCGTATGTTTTGGCATTTCTGCGTGGTATGATCTTGTGTAAACAGGAAAGTGACAAGGAAAAGTTACCAAAGATTCAGGAAAGTTCTCTGTTTCATAAGCATGTGAAATTCACTGCTGCCTTTTCTTCATTTTTCAGGATTGGAGCAAAACATCAGGAGCTAAGGGAAAAGCAGGCAAGAGGACTTATTGATTATGCTACTGGTGCAATGGGATCGGTGCATGATATGGATGATGATGAAATGGACCCCAATTATGCCAGAGTGAACCACTTTCGGGAGCCATGTGCATCAGCAAATGTCTTTCGATCTCCATCTCCTCCTCGGGCTGGCCCACTTGGTTACCCTCGGGATGGCCGTCCACTGTCACCAGAGAGAGACCACTTAGAGGGTCTCTATGCCAAGGTCAACAAGCCATACCATCCAGCAGCTCCAGTTGACAGGTAATATAACTTAGTGGAAGATGAATGTAGTTTTAATTCAGTAAGTTTCAAATCATCTGTACTGCTGAAGCAGATAAAAATATATCCTTCAATCTATTAAAACTGAAATGACACAGTACCCTAGACAAGTGCTATACTTTGACCTACCCGTGAAGTATCAGCCATCAAAAATAAAACAATTGCCAGTTATAAGGTGGCATAAATGAATAGTAGTAGTAGAGTTCATGGTGCAACAGGGAGCAATTTTTGCAGGGATATTGTGACAGGGAACTAATGAGGAGCACTTTGAAGGAAGATTGTCCTTCCTCCTCAGGGCCTTATTATAAAAGAGTCATTCAAGAAGATGGTGTGACACTTGGAGGTGAGGAGTCACAGAAGAGAAAATGATGGCTTCCAAGTGGGTGTGATTGAAGTGGAATTATAGATAGCTGGAGAAGTGCAGGGACTTTGAAAAGTAAGATTGGGATTTTGTACTAAAGGAAAATGAGACCCTGTATAGATATTCATGGATGATCAGAGGTAGAAAAGGTGATAATCTTGGCAATAGGCATTTGATGAAGTGGAGAGAGATGGGAGGTGACAAGGCCAAGGATCTTTAGGCTTAGCACTAAGGAAAGAGATAATAGGCCCATCTGTCAGTACAATTGAAGTAGGTAGGGAACAAGGTGATTCCAGCCCCACCTCCTGCCAAAAGGAAACTGCCTGGCTCTTCAGAGGCTGATCCAAGAGAGTTTCAGTCAATGGACTTTGTTAGGTGACCGTGGCAGTTACACATGCAAGGACTGGGTTGACTGACCTTGCTCTAATCTGACTGTGGGTTGAAGTGTGGAAAGCAGAAGGGTAGCAGCCGCAAAGACTTCTTCTAGATGAAGAAGGGAGATGTGTTTTTGCAGCTTTCTTAGGGTTCTGACAACCACCCAGGCCCTATTAGTAACCAGCTTTTGTGTGATAGCATGATATATTGCGTGTGTTTACCGTTTACATTTCCCCAGCTGGGTGATATTATGCACTTTCAATTAGGTTGGGGAGAGGAAGGGAAATCATGGCATTTTTATGCAGACTGTAAAGTGTAGCTTCACAAGACTGATTACCTTTCAGAGCCTTTCCAATAACCAAGTGGGAAGGAAGGAGCAATTTTTAATCCTTACTGTCAGGCTTCCAAGTTGAGAATATTAAAGAAAGATGGTCAAGTTTGTCTTTGAGACAAAATGAAAATATAAATTCCTATGACTGTGTGATACAGCCATAATAACTAAACTGCTAATTCAAAGAATTGATTAAGACCTGGTATTTTCTCCCCAGCTTTCATATAGGAGTGAATTTTGTTATGTAAAACATAACACTAGGCATGGGTCTGTTCTGACCCAAAGCGTAGTCAGTCATGGTTTTCGGAAACCAGAGATACCTTCCTAGCAATCGTTTTTGCATCTGTCCACTGTGAGAATCCCAGGGCAGGAGCACTCTTTCTAGCAACCTGCAAGTCAACATTTCCTTATACCAATCCCAAGGATATGCATACAAATATGAGGCATTCTGTTGAAAGAAAAAAAAAGTTTACAAGTTAAATACCTATAGAGAATCCCAGGGTAAGCCACAGGAATAGCCTGCCTACCAGCCTGCCTTCCTTCTTTCCTTCCTTCCTTCCTTCCTTCCTTCCTTCCTTCCTTCCTTCCTTCCTTCCAATATGCTAATGTACATTGTAAGTCTCTAAGAGGATCATATAACCATCAGTACTCAGCACCCCCAAATTTTGTCACTTACAAGCTTATTACCATGATGCCCTAGATCTTACAATTATTCTTTGGAAGACTATTTAGGAAATTCAGTCCTAAACTAATTTTCACCTATGTAAGTTTGACCAAGAAAGACATTTCTTAGAATACTCGACTGCACCACTATAAAATGATATGAAGAATAAATGTTATTTATGGCTTAGACCAGACACATATATGTGAGTAATGCAGTCTTACTTTTGGCTCTGACCGCAGATACTAATAGATGATCTAAAGCTGCTTTCAGTAGAGTTTTAGACTGTTGTATTTTTGGATGGCAGATCAGAGTAAGAGCCTTTATACTAGGAATTATCTATTCTACTTTTATCAATCATTACATTTAAAGACTGCTTTGCTCCTTGTTCTTTGAGTCTTAAAGCAAGCAGTTTTTGTCTTGGCATGTAGTTAAGCATTTGATAATGTTTGCAATTATCAACGACATTGTTAGGATCATATTATTATTACTCTCCTTTGCTGTGTCCCTGTCCTCAGCAGGGCCCACAGCAGGAACTGTAAGTTCTAAACCTATGCTATTTACACTTAGAGAGCACCATCATTTACCTACCCATCTGTTTGGTCTTTCACTCATTCAGTAGGTATTCATCTGGCACCTACTGTATTATAGCAATTAGGGAAAGCTCTAGAGGAGATACAAAGGTGACTATATTTTCAGACTCTAGAGGAGTCCGTATTATAATCAGTAGGGGACCAACACCCATGGAAATGGATCATTGCATTATAATGTAAATAGAAAAGGGAGATTTTCTTACTCTGCCTATGGTAGTTAGGAAAGGCCTCCAAAAGGAGGTGACATTTGAACTGGCTCCAGAAGGATTAGTAAGAATTGACAAAATGCAGTCGGGAAATTGTTTTCCTTATGTAATAATGAATTATGTACTAGAGTAGAGTGGACTGAAAGAGCAGCACATGTTAGGGATGCTTAGAAGCCACCAGAGAGGAGGAAGAGGGGTGGGATGGCGGATACAGTGGGAAGAATAACCATGTTCCTAAAGTTGTAGTTATGAAATGTATGAAGCTTGTATTTCTTAAATAAAAAGAAGCCCCCAGAACATAGAATACAGTTGAGAAGAAAAATGATGAGAATTGAAGCTGACAACTAGGTTGCAGTCAGTTTATAAATGAATTGGTTGCATCTTAACATTGAAACCTATTGATCAGTAGTAGCTGTCTGGAAATCTGTGTGAAGAAGGGTTCTCAAGTTAAGCTGGAGTAATGCTGTCTGCCCTGGGCTTCTGCAGGATGCATGGCAGCATGTGTGTGGACCAAGGGAGCCTTGAAAGTGCTGTAATTAGTGAAAGAGCTAGTAGATTAGTATTTGGGGAAAATAGCTCTTCTAGCAAAAGGGAAGAAAGACGATTTAGACTGGGAGACCAATTAGGATATGATTACAATAGCAAGAGGTGGCAAGAACCTGAAATACAAGACTGGCATTGGAGTCAGGAGAAGAAAGAAGAAGCCAAAAAGTTAGTTTAAAATGAGCAGAAAGTTGCTAAGTAAATACTACAGAAATGCCACTTTCAGATGCTTCGGGGAGGTTAATAGAATGAAGACTAAAAAGAGGATTTGGCTACTAAGAGGCCATCAGTTAATTTACAGAGAACAATCTCAATAGAGAAGTAGGAGCAAAGGGAAAATTGTAATAAGAGAATTGAGGGAGGTGAGAATTTACAGAATAAGCTTGGTCATTAGAGCAGAACTGTTACAGGATGGGACTGTGGGGTTTCAAGGCTAGCAAAAGAATTCAGAGGCCTTGTCATTTTATGAATGCAGAAACTGAATCCCTGGAAGTTCAGTGACTTGCCTGAGATCAGACAGCATCGACCCAACTCCCATTTCCCAGTTATGTAAACAGGACCCATGTCAATATATCGGCATCAATTTGGGATCCCAACACGTTAATTGCAGATTAATCCATGGATTTTGGGATGAATCTGATCTACCTCCAGTCCTCTTCCAGTTTCTACTGCATGACCTTCAGTAAAATAACTTTGCTATGATGCCATTTCTCACCTTCATGCATATAGTTCAACAAATACTTACTAAGTGTGTACCGAAGGCCAGAACTTGAATTCAGTACTGAGCTCACCAAGGAATCAGATGGAAAAGGGGTACATTCCTCTTGTCACAGAGCTCACAGTCCAATGGCCTATACAAGACCTAAATATGCAATAAGAATGCTGTAGAGTAGGCACAGGGTAACTTCTGGGGCTGGGGCTCTGTTTTGTTGGAGGGACAGTGGGTAGCATGGGTGAAAACAGAAGTGGAAGAGAGCATGATGTACTCAGTAAAACAGAAACCTGAGCGAGAGGAATGAATGGAAGAGATAAATCAGGAGAGCTTGAGAGGTGGGTAGAAATCAGGCTGGCTTCCATGAGGAGGTTGGACTCTATGCCAAGACAGGTGAGTTAGAGTTCAGAGTGGGAAGGGTTCACGCAGGTTTCAACATCAGGCAGTTAAATGACATAAATAGGTTGACCTCACCTCCTTTTCTGTAGAAAGGATTATAAAAATGGTTTTACATATCCTATGGTTGAATATTATTTTAATTTGTATATTTCTAGTATCTGTGTATAAAGCCCACCCTGTTGTTCATGTGGTTCTGTCTCAGAGGGACATGTCATATGCATGTGGCCCATGTAGCTTCCTAATGGGAGCGATTGCTCTCACCTCCTTGCTTCTCCAGAGTCAGCCCTGAACTTCTAGTTCTTCTGAGAATAAGCTTTTGTCTTATGAGGGATTCATCTGTAAATGATAAGGGCTAAAATAAAGCCCTACCAGCAGGACAGAGACATAGGGCTGGATTCTCCCAGTGTGATTGTCCCAGAATTTCAGCATAGCATGGGTTAAGTCCTCCCTTAGAAGTGTCATAACTAGGGTTCCTAATGTCAGTCTCCCAGTGTAGTGCCCTGTGCGCAAAGGGCTCTCACAGTATAAAAGGGTTTCAAAATATTCATAGATAATGTATACGATCTTATCATTTGTTTACTATGAATGTTTTGAAGCCTCCTCATCTATGAACAATGAAAACTTTATGATTGGATGAGGACCAAATAGTTACAAGTAGGTGAACTTGAAGATGCATGTGGCACTCGGCACAATTGTAGTTTTGCAGTAGCCTGTGTGATTATTCGGCATTCTTTATTGGAGGTTGCCAAGTGTGTTTCATCACATACCCTATCAGCAAAAATGTTTTGGGGTGTGAAACCC